GACACGAGCGCTGTGTGTTTGTATGTGCTTCATAACCGTGCACCCCAGGGGACCCGTCATAATATCCTGCACTGGGGCCCGTCATTACTAAGTTACGCCACTGTCCATGGTCATTTGCCAAGTTATAGACAAGTTAAAACTAGTATTGCTTTTTGCAGCACAATATTTGACCGAATTCAGTTATTTATATATAAAATTCGTATTATATACGAAGACAGTTATTTTAGTCAGTTACGGCACGTTAGCGCTAGCATTCTGCCCGCTTCAAATCATACACAGAGATGAAATAGTGCGGTAAGACCACATTTATTCCCGATCTCATGAAAGTGTGTATAGCACGATTTTCTGCTTCTATTTGGCGTAATGTTTATATGCAGAAATTGACTTTGCAAAAGCCTGATAAATTCATAATTAACGGCATGGGTTCAGTCGACAGAAATACGGGACACACAGGCCTATGATAACTGCTGAAATGTTTGCGGGGCAAATCTCAGGTCAGTCTGAGCACTCATGCACTCACAGTGCGTACAGCCGTACACCTGCAGGTGCCACTGTGTGTATGTGCTTGTGGGTATTACATTTGTGTGTGGTTGTTGCCGCTAAAGTTGGCCATGACTCAGGACATGGTGTTGATAATTTTTAGACCTCTTTCTTATCTATTCTCTTGCTTTTCGGAGAGGAATGCGGTTGCCGCGATTACCACTGTCCATGGTCATTTGCCAAGTTATAGACAAGTTAAAACTAGTATTGCTCTTTGCAGCACAATATTTGAATGAATGGGTAAAAATTACAGTTATTTTCGTCAGTTACGGCACGTTAGCGCTAGCATTCTGCCCGCTTCAAATCATACACAGAGATGAAATAGTGCGGTAAGACCACATTTATTTGAATGAATTATAGCATGTATTTCAATTAATTATCTATCGATCTATCAAGAGAGAGAGAGAGTGAGAGATGACAGTTGTGTGTATGCTGCGTCTGTGCGTCTCTCTACAAACAGCGTTACTTCAAAAACAGCGATTTTATCACCTCGTTGCTGGGGAATATTATGTAGCGATCTAGTATCTAGGCTATTTTATTAATAAAAATCACAGGGAAGCGTAGACAACAAGTTTATGTGTGTGTGTGAATCAGCGATCTCTCTCTCTCTCTCTGTGTGTGTGTGTGTGTGTGTGTGTGTGCGCGCGCGCGAGTGATGTGTGTTGGTTAGTGTGCATCAATTAAAGCAGCGCATTAATATAGAACGGTGATTAAACTGACTTGGAACTACCTGTGCATTAAACGGTTTTACTGCATACCTGCCAGCCAATCAGAATCCAGTATTCAGACAGACCATGAAATATATATATATATATATAATTTGTTTGTATAGTGCTTTATACAATAAAGATAGCGTCAGAGCAGCTTTACAGTGGCAAACAGGAAAATAGTTTGCCACTGTAAGCAGTCATTTTTCAAGTTAAAGTCAGTTCATTGATGATTATGTGATATGTAAACAAACTGCACCTGCAGTTATCAATAAAAAATCACTAAAAAATGTGACATTCTAAAACACTTAACATGAAAAATGCATGACATGGTTTAATGTATTAAGAGTTATTAAATGATCAAATTCAAAATATAGCTTATATACAGGCAAGCAGATGAGCCCAGAATATGAACAAACGTCTTAATGTATTAAGCCACATTAGGCATTTTCTTTATAATGGTTTTCTATGCGAAAATGCTTAACGTGCAATTTAGTGCGTTGTGTTCATATTCTGGGTGAATCTGTTCACCTGCATATAGTTCACATCATCAATGAAGTATATACTGAGTTTGGTCTTTTAATATCACTGTCTAACTACATTAGTTCTTAGTACAAACTTGGTAAAAATGAATGCCATTCATTGGAGGACAGCTTTGTTTTGCCCTCCAGTTGGGAATTCCTATAACTATGAATTGTAGAGTACTCCATTTGCAGTGCTGGGGAGGCTCCGAGAACTCTTTGAAAACCCCTGATTTAGGCATTTCTAGAGAAAAGCAATGGCATCCAACTTTCAACTTTCAACTTTCAACTTTCTACAGACATTAAAGCATGCAACAGTGATAACTGATAAAAGCATGTGTACATGCACATGAAGCAAAGACTTTATGAGATTTTATGAGGGTTTGTCAATTAAAATTGAACTGTGATATTATGTAAGATGTAACAGTAAAGACTTTAGAATCTAGTCATCCACCTCTTCATTAAAACTGCAATCATAAAATGGTGCACAATATAATTTCTCAAGAAATTAGTGCTTGCCCATGGTTGCTATGTGATTGCACTGGTGCTCTAGGTGGTTGCTAGCACACTGCTGAGTGGTTCCCATGTGGTCCCAGTATAAGATGTGGGTCCCTACTTCAGTGAAACTGTTTGAGTAGTTATTAGCTTGTTTTATTGCCCGCCAGATGAAAATTAAAAGTGTTGAGTTACACATCAAAACTAAATATTATTTAAGTATGAACAACGGTAATAGCAGTAATTTTCACCTTAGCAAACCTATTATTATAAGTGTTCAGAGTAAACATTTTCTAATAGACATGTAAGAAGATTTATTACGATCTGAAAATACTCTATCGCTGACCTTGTCTTCACAGGTGCAGCCCAGGTCATCATTAAGAGCTGTGACTGGTCCTGCAGGGTTTGGCTTGGACACTTCTTCAGGCATGCTGGGTATGTGTACAGGGGCCCTCAAGAGCTGGTTAAGGCTACCATGGGTACCATTATTAGGGGCAAGCTTCAAGCCAAGGAGATCTGGGAAACATGGAGGCAAAAGATCTTATGTGCACACTGTAAAGCATTAAACAATCAAGTTATTAGAGTTGCCAAGTATGCATTTTTATGGTATTGAACAACTTTTACATATTTGTTGTCGGTATTTTTTATTTTCAAGCTCTTCACCTTTGGGAAACAATTTTTTATTTTCGAAATAGAAAGGAATTTATTTGAACTTTAATTACATTTATATTAAATCATCTGCTTTTAATCAATTCATATCATACCTAACTGATCCCTGATGCTAGACAGAAGGGGTCACATGCACACTTTACTCTCTATGCCACTAATGCATTAATACATTGATTAATATAAAGACACAGTGTGCAAGCAGAAATAAGATCATTATGGGTAATAAATGAAGCAGCATGGTGCTGTATGCGTTTTTGTATTTATTATTGAACCAAATCCCTTATAGCCTGTCCTGCTCAAATTTAATTTATTTACAACTATACTTTACATTTTGCAAAGATGTCAAGCGACTGTAAAGCTCAAGTTTTTCTATGGTGGTTAACTTGGCGTATTTTCTATACTTTGGGGAGTTTACATTATGCAAAACTATGAATAGAGATAAGTGCTTTTGCACTGAAACTCAAAATTAATGCTGTAATCAGGATTACTACAGAATGAAAAAATAAAGATTTTCTCACCACACATGACATTATAAAGCTCAATATTCTCAAATGGTGGAATTTTTGTCTTGAATTTGAAAGATGGTCCATATCCAAGGAAAATGGTCTGAAAAGTAGATGAAAGTAAGTCACTAAAGTACCACAAAGTTTAACACAACATTTTCAATTATATCTATGAAAATTCAAACACAAACCTGCATGCTGTTGATTTTATTGTCATATCCGTGATCACCAGCAAACCCACATTTCCCATGATTCCTTTTTGATTCATGGAACTTCCTGAATCAGAGAGACACAACATAATTAGGTAACTGCGGGTTCTTCATCTCAAAGAAAAACATTCGGGGGAGACATGGAGCAATTTTTCAACTATATAAACATTAAACCTTGTTTTCTTCCCAATCCTACATAAGAATTTGTCTCAAATATTTATTTATTAGAGCAATGACTTGTTGTTAACAAGTCAATGACTTGTTAACGACAAGTTAGTATTTGTAGATGACATGCTTAAATACTAAACATAAAAGTCCAATGTTTAAATTCCTTAGAATAAATCAGTATTTAAAAGTCACTGAACATGCTGGGTGAAGCTATGTGGCAGAGCCAAATGACTTAAGTACACTAAACCTCAGTAATCACCCGGCTGTGAACTCTTCATTTTTACTCAGTGGAAAGAATACACTACAGTAAATCCAGGGATTCCAGCAATAAGTGTTCATCCCATGCAGCATCTTCAAATAACAAATGAGAGACTGCTCATAAATATTTTATTTCATTTCTTAAAACCTGACTAGTTAATTTAACGTTCTGCTTAATGCAAAGACCTACAGGCTATGTAAGACTGCCCAATCTATAAAGTATTTCACTTCATGACTTTGGAACCACCGATTAGACAGGACTATATCTCCACCAGTCTGCCTCAATGCTTGCTTTCATTTGGGGCTCTACCGTCAGCCAAACCAAACAGAGGAAGTTGTCTCAACCCTGCTGTGAGGAACCGTTTCTGGACCTGCCTCTCTGTTTCTGCATCCACATCTATGGTGGAAGCGTTGTAAGCTATTGGCCAATTACAGTGACCTCATCGTTTTTCTTTTTTTGTTTATAGAGTTTATAGCTTCCCATTTCAGTATCAAACGAGCATACTAGGGACTACGGTGTCATTAGAAGCATCTAAGGAAAAGGTAAAAACTGAAAAGGTACTTCCATTGCGTAACATAGTACTCTGTAAAAATAAATATTTAAAAAAATATGGACAAAGGAAATTATTTTAATTAATTTATTTAGAAAAATAATAATTTCCTTTGTTAGTATTTTTGTATTGTTTTTCAACAGCAAAATATCTGAACAACCTTAAAACAAGACAAATCTAAATCACTCACAAAACTGATATTAATACTTATTTTCAGAGAATATATCTTGAATTAGGCACATTTTTTTCTTAAGCAGAAATCTAATAACATTTAGTGAGGTGCATGCTTAAAATAAGACAAAATGGTAACAGTTTACAATAAGGTTAATGCATTAGGTATCATGAACTGTGTGTAGCAATGAACAATATCAATCCAGGTTCATTTGATTTCCACATTAATATCTTTTTAACTTAATATTAGTGAATGTATTATTAACTAATATGAAATAACAATGAACATTATTATTTATTTAAATTAACATTAAACTTGATTAATCAGTGCCGTAAAAAATGTTGTTCATTGTTTTTCTTTTAATGATACCTAATGTGTTAACTAATGTTTATCTTGTTTTATGGATGTTTAGATATTTTTACTAGAAAATAAAACAAAAGCACTCTTTAAGAAAATAATTTTTGCATAGTAGGTTTAGGCATCTCTATCAATCAAGAAATGTGATACATTTGGACATTTTAACCATAAAGACTGAAATGTAATTATGTGATAGGTAATTTACCGTGCTATGTGCCATTTCCTCTCAACCATCAAGTGAACCTCCTCAATTCTGTGGTTGTTGGCATAATGCAAACGTTTGGGAAGATGCTGCTTCAAGTATGGTTTGAAGTGCTGATCTGGCTTTTTACACTGTAGGAGAACGTCTCAGGTTACTTATGTAACCATGGATGTGTGCTCCCGGCGCCTATTTATACTATAGTCGTACCGGTAGTGACGTCATGGCTGTCGCCGGCCAACGAGTTGGTGTTTTTTCAATGTATGCTTCAGACACGGGTCACGACGAGGCGTTCCCCATAGCGACCCCTAGAGGACGCAGTTCGAAGTTCCCATGAAAGGGAACCAAGCTTCATGTTTGGTGAAGAAGAACGGTGCATTCTGTACTGAAATTACCAGAGTACATTTTAAATTAAACCATTTAATTAATCAATATACAGTAGTCCCAAAATATATTTAGAGACTATTTGAGACTAAAGTCACATAAATAATGTTAGACTTTCCTCAGAACTAACTTTGTTTTTGGGAACTATTTTTTTGCAAAGAGTTTTATCCAACTTTTGAGTGGATGTATGAAGTCAGTTCTGCTCAAGTTCACAGAGGTGTAGTGACAGAGTAACCACAGGTGTAGGTCTTCACGTTAAGTATGGAGTCTCTCTTAATTTTGACAAACAGAAAGTGTTTTCTTATAAAAAGGCTTAGTAAAGTATAATGTAAATTTACAAAAGTATACTATTATAAAGTATTTTAGAGAAAGTCACTCACCGTAAGGTTTGCTACAATTGCTTTTGCATCATCTAGAGAGAAAAAAAAAATTCAATTGTTTTGATGCCTGATACTTTTAAAACAAATTAATTTCTATAAATAGTGCACTGTACTCTATTCTAATGTCCTCACTAAGTCACATGCTCTCAACACATTTTTCTCTTGTAATGTGACATTTAATTAACTCACACATCAGCCAAAAAGGGAAAGTTCTTTAGGCACATGAAGTATTGCATTTTCATGAAAAATTAAGCTTTTCTAAGGACTAATGCTGATTGTGTAACCAAATGTAAATTTGGTTTCATGTTGACTTAAAAAAACTTGAAATGTAACAAAATTAGTAAAAACAACAACAACCTTGAAATGTAACAAAATTAGTAAAAAAAAAAAAGATTTTAAGGGACAAAAATATTTTCTCAATTTGTCAGATTATTTTGATGTGGATCAACCCAGGTTGTTAGAACACTAAGAATATATTTACAAACGCATAGCAATACTGTATTTCCTGTTAACAAAATCTTGTGATTTCTGATACAACTAGGCCAGGGCAGGCCAGAACTCTCATTCTGCTTTTAATTACTAACATTTAGAGTTGTTTGGATTTCGGGCTCGGATTCTTCCCAGTGAGCCAGGAATTAGGATGATGTCCTCAGTGTTGGACATGTAAGAGCTCAGGAACTCTGTGCGGTCACAATGAGCTTCCTCCATGCCTGAAGAAGAAAAAATATATAAAATATTTACAATTGATCTACAAATAAAATTGTATCACCCATAGAAACCCCAAACAAGGATTTCTAAATGTGGTACCATGGTCTCCAACCAAGATGATATTGACACAACGGTGCAGTTTCATCTGTTTCAGGCCATTCATTAGCTGTCCAATCACCTTATCAATGTCCTTCAGTGCACTGTCAAGCTGTAGAATGAAACAACATCTGTGTAATGCTCAATGTCAAAGATACACCAGCAACACCAACAGTCTTCAAATTTGCTTGAAGCAAATTTGAATTCACACACTATGGAAAGTGAATGTAAGCAGTTTTTGCAGTGAGTCTGTATTTGGGCTGAGATTTTGTTTGCATTACTGTTACATTTGCAGCATGATCATATATGTTTATGTGAGTATGTATGTGACTGCAGCAGGTGAGACAAGGCCAGTCAGCTGGTCTTCTAAACTATTAGAATGTTTCCTGTAGACTCTGCTTACCTCAGTGCTGTGGGGTCCTAGTTTGTGGCCATAGGAATCCAGCTGTTCAGAATGCATTGCATAAACATATGGCCTGCAAACACACAGACACCTGTTACATTTTAACCAAAAAAAATAAAAATCTACAAAAAACAAACACACAGTGACAGTACTGCTGTAAGGTCAAAGTTACTATAAGGCAAAGTCTAACCTTAAAGCAAATAAAAACTAATAACATGACAGTTAAGATAACTCCATGAACCTAAAAAAATAAATACATGGAGCAATATTTTTCTGTAGGCAAAGTTTCATGTCACATTCACTATAAAATACAGAGCTCTGAATTTTGTGGAGTAAAAAAATTAATGAGAGGGAGTTTACGGTCATTCTGAACTTTTTAAATGAATTGTTCAAACAATAATGAATGTTCACAAGGCATTTTGGGGGTGTTTATTACATACAGACCTCTCCGCATCCGGAAGGTGAAGCCACTGCAACATGGTCAGAACTCTCCTTTCCAATGGAATGACACTGTTAATGCACCACACATTAGAACTGGTACATACACATATATACTTTGTATATAGCTGAAATATATAGCAAAGTGTATATAGCTGACATTTTCTGAAAAAGGTGTCAGCAGGGCAGTACAATTAGGCAAACCTGTAAGTTTAAGGCCAGCAGAGTACATACAGGTGCATCTCAATAAATTAGAATGTCGTGGAAAAGTTCATTTATTTCAGTAATTCAACTCAAATTGATTTGAGTTGAATTACTGAAATAAATGAACTTTTCCACGACATTCTAATTTATTGAGATGCACCTGTATGTACGTATGTATGTGGTTAAGAGTCTTTGAGTGTTTATGTAGGGTATCGAGAGATTAGGGAGCAAGAAAGATTATCTCAATCAATCTCTACAGGAAACCCTTTCTCCACTACCACCTTTTCCTGACCTCCTGTCCAGTTGTATCAACATTACGTAAATTCATGCACTAAGTTCAGGCCTCCTCAACCTATGGGCTCAGATAAGAATGGCAAATTTAATTTCCTCAATGTTTGAGGCCAAAGGAAGTAGCTCTATGGCACTTTTCCACTGCGTGGTATGACTCGGCTCGGTACGGCACGGCATGGTTCGGCTCGGCATGGTTTGCGTTTCCACTGCAGTTCAGTACCACTTTAGAGTGGGCGGGATTATTCACATGCCGTTATAGTTGCGCCGCCACTACTATCACGACTTCTAAAAAAAACTTTTTCATTCCGCGTCGCCCCATCAAGCTCTTGCTGGATCCGCTCCTCTGCTATCAACGAGAGGAACGTCTGTACTTCCGCAACAGACAACAAAACTTTTTGGTTGTTAAAAAAAATGTGCGCTCGTTCAAAACAGTTGTGTTCGGTCCTTCGCTGGCTGTGCTGATTTAAATCTAGCGGTTCTTTTGTGTTTGTGTCACAAGTTCAGTGACTATAGTGGTAGTGACTATATAGTGTATATAGGTAGTGACTATTCTCTCCGGCCAATCCGTGATCAGCAGAGTTTACATGTCATGTTTTGGTAACGGTACGGTTCACTTGGAACCCCAACCGAAGTGGTACTAAAAAAAGTACCAGGTACCAGGTACTGTACCCAGTGGAAAACCCCCCAAAAATGAACCATACCGAGCCGTACCTTGCCGTACCATGCAGTGGAAAAGCGCCATAAAGGTGCTTTGCCCTTCCACTGTGCTGAATTTGGTATGCAGTTGACAAGCGCCTTGCTTGTACATAGGACCTTTTCTCACAAATTACTAGCAAAACAGTTCAAGCTGTCTCTGTCTAAGTCCAAGTGAAAAAAAAAGCAGTCTGAAGGCCCTCTGTGAGGAGGGGACCTTTGTGTTTCAGTCCCAGGCAAGTCCAGGACTTGCCAGAGAGCACATCAGAACAAAAACATTCACGTGATTTCCTCTGTTTTATGAAATCTTGCCATTAACTTGCAATTTAGGCTTGAAGTACTTTTTTCAGCTGTATAATTAGATTTTCATGTTCTTTTAAGAAAATATGAGTGGTGCTTATGAGTGGTTTGCCTGTGCAAAATTTCACATGTCATTGCTTTGTGGTTTCTAGGGTGTTGTGGGAGTTTGCTTTACTGGCACACATGCCCACCTCCCAAGTCTCCATGACATTATGGTCCCTAGATATAAGTTCTCATTCATTATAAGTTTATGGGATTTTTTTCATACATTTAAACATCCACCAGGCTAAAATCATGAAATGGCACACCTCTCCTCAATAAACCACACAATTTGAGGTACCGCTCATGTCCATAACATAAACGGTACAGACAAGTTATTTGATTAACCATGTTACAGAATTAAGTTAAATATGACCTTGAAAAAGACATTGTTTGCATTTGACTTTGGATCATGTTGACTTACACTGGCCAGAAAAATGTACCAGCCTTTATTCCTTGTTTCACTGCTGTTATCCAGATCTAGAAATGGAAGGAATAAAAGTTATCAAACAAAACGTGTTGTTCTGTGTCTTCTGTGGAAAAAAGTCATATACCTAAGAAAACAGTCTATCTCTCACTTTATATATCATATTACTGAACTAAACAAATTGTAGGGATCACAATTCACAAATGAGAGACAATCGTTCTATGTGTTGGGTAATTTTCACAAGTGTTTTGGCAAAACTGCCGAGACGAGACTGGGTAAGTTCCATCTATGATGGCCTCATTTACTGTCACAGCTCAGTCCGTGAGGTATAGAATCAGCCAGAAGAAATAAAGTTCAGTGAAACCTGAAAATTGGCTCCAGCTGTTGGGTTAATAGTTGACAGATGTGTTGGAGATGTCCCCTTTGTTTTCATGTGGCTTGCACAAGATCTAAAAAAACTCACTGACATTATGAACATGATCCACTGCTTGCAGTTTCAAAATACTGTGCCACTGAGGTACTAGTTATAATCTCTTATCTCTCACCAAGACAATGGTTCACAGTTTAAAATGGTGACATGAATATGGCTCAAAGTAGTCTACATATATGTACATGAGTATCACTGGATTGACCTTTTACAGTTGAAGTTTGAGTATATTTCAAATTCAAAGCTAGATTTGATGTCAAGAATACCAGAGAGCACTGGCTGTCATGTGTACAAAGTCTATTATCCCTGGAAAAAGGTACATGTCAGAGAAATATGCATACATGTATGTATATATATATATATATATATATACACTCTGGTAAAACATCTAATATATAATTAAATATTGCAAATTATACTGTATGTTGCTTGAAAAAAATATTATTTATTTTTCTACCATGATGCAGAAAAAAACTTTAAATTTCAGCCTGTTTGTCACACAAAGAAATTATATGGGTCCAAAATAAGTTCTATAGATTGTTTTTTATTATTCTTATAGAACTAGGGCTGCCCCTGACAAAAGATTTTCCTAGCCGACTAGTAGTCGTTCATTTAAGCTATTAGTCAACTAATCACAGGTTTATGATATTATTTTAATTACTCTTTAAGTATATATAAATATATATAAAATTTATAAAAGCAAACTGAAACACTACAACGTGTGCAATTAGAATATAACTATATCAATACTTTTATTTTCCTCTGAATTCTGATCTCAGTTTTCTCATATTATTTCAGTATGATTTAACTGCCACACTCCGCACGCAAACTTGGATAAGCGCCTAATCTAATAGTGCACATTTATCTAAGTTAACCTTAATGTTAAAATGAGCGGCCATAGCTAACATTAGGCTACTACTCACTAACATGTTTTTGATGATAAAACATTTTCGTTGTCGATGAACGATAGACCAATGTTTACCTGCAAAGTTTGGCAACCTTTTGGAGGTCATATTTTATCCCCATTTTCGATTTTCTTCCGGACATAATTATTAGCCAGACCAGAAGTATTAACAAACACTCGGCTACTGACTGCGTCACTTTATCAAATCTTGTGGAGTTTTTTTTTTCTGCAACTAACCAACTAATGAAAATGTAGTCGACCAAGCCTCTTCTGTTGACTAATGTTTAGTCAACTATTATGAGGCAGCCCTATATGGAAGGTGAGTACATGATGAGAGAAATATGCATACATGTATGTATATATATATATATATATATATACACTCTGGTAAAACATCTAATATATAATTAAATATTGCAAATTATACTGTATGTTGCTTGAAAAAAATATTATTTATTTTTCTACCATGATGCAGAAAAAAACTTTAAATTTCAGCCTGTTTGTCACACAAAGAAATTATATGGGTCCAAAATAAGTTCTATAGATTGTTTTTTATTATTCTTATAGAACTAGGGCTGCCCCTGACAAAAGATTTTCCTAGCCGACTAGTAGTCGTTCATTTAAGCTATTAGTCAACTAATCACAGGTTTATGATATTATTTTAATTACTCTTTAAGTATATACAGAGAGAAAATGGTTTGAGTTTCAGGGCTGAGAAAGAATGTTATTTGTAACATTGTTCTACATTACAAAGAAATACTATACCATAATAATAAGAAATTAAAACATAAATTAAGCACTTAAGCGCACACATAAAATGAGCCATAGAGACACCTGAAAAAGATATGATTATGAATGCATCAGAAAAAAAACCAGCAAAGAGAAATACATAAGCATGTTAAAAAAGGTATGGAAGGGCAACTCACAGGTTGTCCTCCCCACCATTGATGGTTGAGCTTTTCTTTCCCTCGAATGTTAAAGTTGGCACCAAAACCAGGATCATGCATGGAGTTACCCACAATTCCATGCGACTCAGGATAAAGCCCCTTAAAGCAAAGAAAAAAACAAAAGAAATATGTTCAAAGCAAACGGTTTAAGAGGCAACAGAAATAATATTATCATATACAAGTGCTTATCCTAAGTTTTATCCTAAGTCCTAAATGAACATCCCCCTTGTAGAACTTGAATCCTACCAGAAAAACTGCAACAAAAAACAAAATGCATTTCCCCCCCTCATTTTTCTTTTTTTAAAGATAAACATCTAGCAGATTCTGCAAGGGGTATTTACACTTATAAGCAAAAATGTAACATAAAGTACACCAACTTAATACATACTGTTGTAATTGTATACAAATTTGGGTAGGTTTTGGTGGGGTACACAGGTCTCATGTATGGTGCATGTGTTCCACATGATCCTACAAGAGAAATTAGAAAATAAGTCTTTATTAGAATCAGTCAAAGGCATCAGTTTAGTACAATTAATTAGGTAATTTAGCACACATGGAATACATGAACATGTTCTCTGAACAAGAATGTGCCCAAAGTTTACTTTGTCTGAGATCCTATGTTTACCACATGCAAACTCAATTGCAAAATAAACTGCTGTAGACTGTTGGCCAGTGATTGGCCAGTTTTTTAAAACATTTTTATTACAAGACATAAGTCTTACTGAGTTTCTCGATATTGGGGATCACCATGCTTCCTCTTTTCATGTAAGATGCACGAAAGCCATCAACAGACAGCATGATGACAGGCGGCCGAACAAACCTATACATAGAAAGAAACATTAGTACACCAATTACAAACAAAATGAAATTAATATTTGTTGCTAAAATTTGTCCTCATTTGTAGTGGACAGGCAAGTCTTTAATTTTACTATTCTTTTTATAACAGCCTTCAAGCCTTCCATAGGCACCATTCATATGATTAGGCTCAAAAAGTCACACTTAATGTGCATGCATTAACATTAACTGTTATGCAAACCACCCAGTCCTCCCAGATAGGTGTTTGGTCACACAGAAGCCCAATATCCATCTTTTAACTCCACAGTGTTTGCCATCATTCAGCACTTTACAGCATTAAAAAAAAAAAACACAAAAAAAAACAATTCCCTATCTTCTAGTATGTTAAGTACAGCTGTGACCTAAGATATAAGTGTTGTGGACTTAGTGGTGAATATAAAAGGTGGGATGGATGGGGAGCCCATTCAGTGATGTCTCTCATCCGGCTGGACACTCGTGGTTTTTAATCTCTTCACACTCTTCCTGCAACCAGGGAACATCACCTAATACAGGGAGGAAGTCAGTCAATAAAGCACAAGGTGACATTCATACACATGCAAACATGTCTGATGTTGAGGCAATACAGTGCTCTTGCTCTACAGTTACACACAAACATGCCAAACCCCACCTTTTTATAACTGTAGTGGTTTGGCAAAAAAGTCTTAAGAACTTGATGGGAAATTATTAAAATACTGTATCCATGATGCACAGTCTGGATCAAAAATAACAGCTATGGGTGATTGGCACTTTTGAATCAAAAAGAGTACTCCACCAGATTAAACTATTTCTGCTAAACATTCTGCGAATTACATTAAAATGAAATGCAAGTTTGTAGAAACACTCTGAAAGCCTCCTACCTTTGCAGAGAGACTTGTAGTTGGTACAGCAGTCTCCTTTGGCCATGCAGTCCTCTGAGCAGTGACAGGCATGCTGTTCATTACGAGTTTCACCACAGCGCTCTTTACTGCACTCAAAGCCCCCCACTAAGGGCACAAAAAATGAAACAACATTTCCTGTAGACAAAACCAAAGCAATGCGAAATTAAAGGAAACTGTTACAGCAGCCTGGCACAAGCAATTTGAGGGACGTCTGTCATTTAGACAAAGACAAAAAGTACAGTGGGGTCAAAAAGAAAAAAATGCTACATTAATTTGAGAATCATGAATTTGATAAAACAAGACTTTGAAAATTTCTTAGTATTTGGTACGCCTCAAGTTTGTGGAAAACCTAATACATGTTATCAGCATGATTTGAGAATGTTCCAAAGAGCATTGTGACGCAGATGTAACATGACCATCAATATCACAATTTCATTAGTGACCTAACAGTGCAAAATCTTAAATACTTCTAATTCATTTTACATCATAAAGTCTCAGACTTTGTGTATCTCCAAAATGAAAGGAAAAACAAATGTAGATAGGTCTTACCTGTTTTCAGGCAGTGCTCATCAAAGTCTGAGCAACAAGTATTGTATGTTTTACACAGGTTGTCACAGCGACAGTTTGGGGGTTCACTTTCCACTAGTTCAAAGCACCTGTTTTTGCAGGAACCTGACAGGCTGTTAAAAGGGTGGTCAGAGAGAACTTCGGGGACCGGATAAAGTTTAAGAAAGAGAGAAGAGACATAGAACATACAGATTAAAGAGATATTTTAAATCTAAAAACACACATCACCAAAATACAAAGCTTGTTATGCTTGTGCAAACATTCGTATGTGCTCTGCCCTGAAGCTTAAGTCACATGTATGCAGTTCAATCATTCCCGCCTGTAAAATGTTCTCTGCATATCTCAATATTGACTTAGGGTAGAGCAAAGCAAATATTTCTTTCATTTTCGATCACCAGCTGAGAGAGCAACAGAAAGTGAAACATTTTGTTAAATGTTCCTTGCACATCACTACTACCAATCTATGTGAACTGACATGATCACTGAATTACATAACATAAAACTAACACAAAAAAAAAAAAACGAACAAATGATATAATGATATTAAATTCTAGCATGAACAATGAATCATTGAATGATGGATCAAGCTAGGTCAAATGCTCTTCTTTTGTCCAAGCTCGACTAAATTATATAAATTAGGTTGCAGAAACAGCCTTGACATGTTTAGAATGGCATCAGTTGAATTGGCCTTATGTACATAAATGGACCAAATACACAGTGCTGTCGTCCAAGATACACAGAAAAACCAACTCAAATCAAACTAATGTGAAACCTCTATAATTTCACATGGTCTGGAGACATAAAGTTATTACATGCATGTATTTAACACACCATCATAAATGTACATTTAATACATTTCAAGACCTTTCGAACTAAATTTCTAATATTTTTATTATCACATATAACAAATATTGTTATTATCTGAATGCACATTAACTAGTAAACATTTAATCAGTAAATTTTGTAACAATATGTGCATACACCGAATTTGAAAAAAAAAGTGTTAAATCTAGGAAGAAACAAGGTTTTAAACAATTATGCTTAACATTTTTCATAACATTCATGCAACAGTTTGTGATTAAAATGGTCATAACAGTACTTGAAAAGACTTTAATTTTTTGTTCCTCATTACAAATTACACAGTCATACATCAAACAAGAATTCTGGGGCTTCTGTGCTTTTTTTTTTTGTAAATTTGGAAGTCTTTATGAAAGAACTTATTTTACTGATTAATCAAAACGCTTCATTCTAAAAAGTTCAAAATGCTAATTATTTTTCAGCACTACAAATGGTGGCGCAACTAAGAAAAGACCAATCACAATCCACTCTACACAATATTACAAAAATATAATCACTGTTGATTACATTTTCTATTAATTTCTATCAAATTTCTATCAATTTAAGGTGTACTCAGTAAGTTTGTATTTAAGTTTTACTGTTTAGTAAATACCCCAATACAGCCAATGGTCTTGGACTTTACAATGACACTCAGTTTCTGCCACTTCGTAGTTCATTCTTGATCTGTGTATTCAATATGGCAGACCACTTATGAATAGCAGCCCACAGAAACAGCCGCTAGAGCAGTACATATAGTTATCTTTGGTAGCAGTTGTAGTAACTCTGTATAACATTCTTGGCCATGTTATGTTACCCCTAGAGGGGTCCACTGCATGTACAATAAAACAGATTTTTCTAGATTAAAACATATTGCGATAGAGTCCTTATAATGTCACTGAACACCAAATGTTATTTATTTCTTCATATGTACGTTTTTAATTAGCATACTGAATGTACATTTAGATTTATTAAACCCATACAATAAGTGGTTCGAAGTTGTAAATTCTGCCCTGCAACCACTGTAGTCATGTTTGTTATATATTAATTGCATACAGCTTAAATTTACAATTGTATAATAATTTATACATTAAGCACACAAATTCTAGTATAAAAACATTCTGGTATTAAAGAAGTATGAACCTACATCCTGAGAAAGACTCCGATGATTCTGCCTTGCCGCACCGCCTGACCACATAAGCCTCACACACAGAGCACCGCGAGAGAAGATATATAACGGAGAATAACTGCATACAGACACACCGTGAGAGAAGTCACATAACGGAGAATACACGGGTACAGATCAAGCAAATGCACCTCGTTCAATCTTTGACTGAATTTAGTTAGAGGTTGCAAAAAATTATAATAATTACAAAAAAGCATGTCAGTTAATTTCACAAATTTATCAACATACTGTATACGACAGAGAAAGTGCAATAGTAGCCTATGTTTATCAGACTTTTAGCTTTTATATGTCTGCGACCAAGAGAAAAGGTTTTCAAACTGCAAAACATGTATTTATATTTATATATGTAGGTCAAGGCATATTAATTACATGTGTAAATGCAATAAAAAGTTGACTGAATAAACCTCATTACAAAGAGAATACATAAGCGTTACATGAATACAAATACCATACCGTACCCATTTCAACTGCAACATGGTTGATGTGTGTCTGGTCCCTGACTCACTGCCACACTGAGTACGTACTCAAACTACGGCACTATATTCACGTTTATTTTACCCTCAACACCCTCACACCAGGAAACATGAACTAACGTCATATTTGGCAAACCTGTGACGAAATTCACCGAGAGACCATTTCCTTTATTAATAGCCCCTAAAATACTTTAAATATAAGGCAGACATTTTACTTACACAATAAAAATGAATAATAGGCTTTGAATGTTTAGCAATAAGATTCCCCTTTTGGTTCTCAGACTGTAAGTACTTGTCTGTTTGGATTTGTATTCAGCAACATGTTTTTATTGGGGCCAGAATTGGTAAAACAGACGGCTAAACCTTCAATTATATGTCTGCTGTGTTGCATTAGGTCAGAAAAGGTTTTAAACATTTGAAACGGAAAATACAAGTTTTAGTAAAACTACATCATATGGTGTCTGGGACCCCAAACAATCAAGTAGCTCTATGGGCGTACGCGGGGGACGTATTATATGTATGTATGTATGGATGAACTTCTGAAATGATGGCTACGCCCCTGAGTAGATCACAAAAGAAGAGATGAAGGTTAAGGTATTAAGTGTAATTATCTGGGTTATTCCATACTGCTTTGAATACTGCATGTTTTGACATCATTGTGAAACTTTACAAAGAACCAAAAAGTGGAAACTTTTGTACAGAGACCAGTGGCCTGTAGCACGAAGCCGGTTAGGTGGGTTGGTTTTTAGCAGGTTTCGTCGCCATGGTAACTTACGCTACACGGCTACCCTGTTCTGGGTTAGAGATCCCTATAAAGAAAAACTGGACCAAACAGCTGTGAGCAAAGTGACATATATCTGATGCAATGAAGCCAAGCCACTCCCCCGTATCTCTCACTCCAAATTAAAGTACGGTAGTTTACAGCCAAAGACATAATTGCCCGACTTTTGCAGCTACTTATTTATTATTATATTGATATTATATTAATTGTAATCGTTTATAATTCATATAATATATTAATATAATTATAATATGAATTGGCAATTAATTTTAAGCTTCGTATTTAAATTATATATATATATATATATATAAGATTTAGTATATCCAACTTTTAAAATGCATAGACATATATTTTCTTTCTGCTGCCAAACTTTTGCTGCAGCAAAAGTGTTTATTCCTGCCTTGAAAATGCATTTAAATTTATTACATTTCTAATAACGACATCTCTTAGGCTGTGTTCGAAATGGCATACTTGCTTACTGCTTACTGCCCAGTACACAGTGCATACTGCCTACTATTCTTTTTAAAGAATAGTGTGTGAAACAGTATACAATAAGCAATAAATGTTTCAGAGTAGTATGCTTAAGTGCTGTCACATGACAAACACTGAACATTAATTCAGCACAGCTGTCAAGGTTGTTACCTTAGAAACAAATGAGCTAACTGTTCTTTTTACAAAGGCTTGTTAATAAGGCTTCATACTAGTAAACAATGCTATATTGCCCAATTGAACTCATTTCATAATTGATTAACTTTACATATTGGACAGAACTAAATCAACACTGAGCTGTCTTTATTTATATTTTTGGTAGTTACACTAATTGGCGATAGGCCTATATTAAAAAGCGATATATTCTAGTTACACTAAGTGCAAATAATGATCAATTCTGTTTACACTAAAATAGCAGCATTTTCTTTAGCAACAGGCATGTACATAGTAGTTAGGTGGCAGATATGTATACCTCTATACTGTAGTACATTATTAAACAGTATGCAATAACATATTGAGTGTAAATTATCATATATATATCAATTGTATTAGACGAATGCCACTTTATTGGGACAAAAACCAACCTAAAGCATACACAACACTGTATTATTGAGGCATTTTATTGGACAAAAACCTACCTAAAGCATAACCAACACTGTATTATTGAGGCGTTTTATTTCCACTTTTCAAATATTTACTTAATTTTTATTGAAAATAAATTTCTTTCTGATCTGGTATGTGATGGGAAAAGGAGAAGCATGAGTTTGACAAAAGCCAGGATCGAACTCGGGTCGACTGCGTCAAAAGCAAACAGCTCACGTTCTACTTGCTGCGCCACTGATACTTCGGAAATGCAAGTGTCTTTTGCGGTGCTGTTAATCACAGCCAGGCATTGGTGGGCGGAGTTAATGTAAATAGCCTCTACCAACAAATTTGTCCTTAGAGTAATACACTCCATTTATTTTTAGAACTGCTTGATAGTGGAATTGAATTCTGTTTGCATAATTGAAATATTTTTATTTATACATTTTATTTATATATTATATTGCTGCAATATTATTATTATTTAATATCTTTGAAAGAATCTGTACTGGATAAAGCGCTATAAGGATAAAGGTGACGTCATTTGATGATCGGAAACGTGCTGTAGAGATTAAAGTACAATTTATGTCCTACTAACAATATTGTTTTTAGATAAACAGCAATAGTTTGTCGTTTACATGTATATGTATATACGTACAAATACAAGTGTTACATTTATAATTACTATTCCCCACCTCCAGTTCACTCACGCGTTTGAAGATGAAACGTCACATGGAGCGCATTGCGTTCTGGGAAACAGTATCCCATGCAGCGTCTTCAGATGCATACATCAAATTTCAGCCAATGTAGCAGGTAATCAGGGCATTCCATGCATACAGAAAATGCACATACTATTTACAGTATACACACAGCATACTGCAATATAGAATGGTAGTATGCCATTCCGAACAGCTTCTGTACTGATTTCAGTGTACTTGAGTTATATTTAGCAGATTCTGGCGAATATAGTAGGTCATCCGGGTATTACATTCATACAGAAAATTTGCATACTATGCACAGCATACATACCGGATACTGCAGAAATAGTAAGAGTAGTATGATAGTATGGCATTTCGAACACAGCCAGAGCAACAGAACTGAAATTATATCATGTTTATTAGCAACACAGCACGTGAGTGAGAATAACGCGATATCTGCCTTTGATCTCGTTGGTATCTGCTCCACTTCTAGAGGTCAGAACTGTCCGTCTTGCCTGCGCTTATTTCACTCCTCCCCTCACTGCAGCCGCCTACTCTCGCCTACATTTCAGGCAAGGCAAGGTGCATCTCAAACAAGCCTAATATTAAAACTCCATTTTCATAACGCTGCCAGGCGTTAAATAAGTGTCGTTAGGCCATAAGTTAACGGCAGACGCCACCACGCGTTAAAATAACGCCACACGCCACTTAAGATGCAGATTTATTTGCTCATCTACATGGACACACCTCTCATGGCTACAAGGATTCTATGGCCAGTCAGAGCATCCAGTTTGCAAGAGCGCGAAGAGAAGATGGCAAGTACAGCCCTTACAATTCTAGATATACGGGAAAAAATGCCCCTGAATGAGCTTTTGTCTATCGTCAGTTAGAGATTAAAGTACAATTTATGTCCTACTAACGATACTGTTTTTAGATACACAGCGATAGTTTGTAGTTTACATGTATATGTATATACCTACAAATACAAGTGTTACATTTATAATTACTATTCCCCACCTCCAGTTCACTCAAGCGTTTGAAGATGAAACGTCACATGGAGCGTGTTGCGTTCTGGGAAACAGTATCCCATGCAGCGTCTTCAGATGCATACATCAAATTTCAGCCAATGTAGCAGGTAATCAGGGCATTCCATGCATACAGAAAATGCACATACTATTTACAGTATACACACAGCATACTGCAATATAGAATGGTAGTATGCCATTCCGAACAGCTTCTGTACTGATTTCAGTGTACTTGAGTTATATTTAGCAGATTCTGGCGAATATAGTAGGTCATCCGGGTATTACATGCATACAGAAAATTTGCATACTATGCACAGCATACATACTGGATACTGCAGAAATAGTAAGAGTAGTATGATAGTATGGCATTTCGAACACAGCACATGTGTGGCCTACCTGACACAGGTGGGAAAGCCATTTTAGAAGTAGTGTGCTATGTTTTGATCAGTTTATGAAGACAAACATTTTATTATGTTTGCAATATCATGCAATCTACGCATCATCCATAATATGATGAAGACAGTGCATTAGGATATAAATAGGTAAGTAAATAGTCCATTTTGATTCAGTGTTTACTGTCACATTTACTGTGTTAAATAACCCCACACGCCACTTAAGATGCAGATTTATTTGCTCATCTACATGGACACACCTCTCATGGCTACAAGGATTCTATGGCCAGTCAGAGCATCCAGTTTGCAAGAGCGCGAAGAGAAGATGGCAAGTACAGCCCTTACAATTCTAGATATACGGGAAAAAATGCCCCTGAATGAGCTTTTGTCTATCGTCAGTATCGACGGAAAAATATCATAATGAGCAAAAATATGCCACAGTGGACCGGTGCTCACGCCGAACGGCACGGTGAACAGATGCGCTGTTTCCAATGAATGCAGTAGCATAGTGTGCGCGTGAGGCAGAGTATCCCATGCAGTGTCTTCAGATGCATACATCAAATTTCAGCAAATGTAGCAGGTAGTCCGGGAATTCCATGCATACAGAAAATTCACATACTA